TACCCTGTTGTGTAGCCCTGCCTGTGCATCAAGAGCAATATCACTGGCAGTAACAGATAACCACAAATAAAAGAGTTCCTTTTTTATTTCAAAGTGTGGGCATTTCGTGTCAATAATACAAAGTCACGAGCACCATAAAGTAAAAAAGAGGAACTCTTTAATTAACAGAAATCTGATACTACCGGTGACATTTCCATTGTGCAGATGGTGCTATGCAACAGGATATTGGCCACTGATCTTATCCAGACTTGCTGAGTAAATATACTTAGGCTCATACAGTCACTGTTTTCAGGTGTTGGGAATGAGTCAACAAGCTTTCTTCATTTCCTTTATTGGGGGAAAGACTGTACATGAATAAATGCAATGAAAATGAAGACAGATCTGTCCTTAGTGTTGCTGTCCTTGGTATTTCAAGGCATTTTTGGAAGAATATTATTCCTTGTTTGGAATTGCATTAATCACAGGAACGTGATGTAATTTTAAAGGGAATAATATGCTGAGTGTGGCCTGCATGGTGGGAGGTTGTTCCCACCGTGTATGTTTGCATACAGGTGTGATAGTGCATTTGTGTGAGTGTGCAGAAGAGTACAACCCAAAACATCAAAGAGCTGGAGCAGCTTTGTAGTATCTTGCCCATCCTAACTATTTAGCTTGTAAAAAGGATAAGTAAGATGGGATTTAATGGAAGGCTATAAAATAGTACATAGTATGGAGACAGAGAAGGCGGGGGGACATTTTCTCCTTCTCTAAAAATGTGGGAGGCACAAGACAGAAAGAAAGACTTAATCACACAGGATGTAGTCAGACCTTGGAATTTGCTACCACACACTACAGCGATGGCTGCCAGCTTTGGATGGTTTTAACAAAGGATTAGTCACATAAGGCTGTGCGTGGCTACAGATCGTGATGGTTGTATATTGTCTCCCATACAGAGGCATTGTGCTCTAAATTTCATTTGCTGGAGAATGCCAGCGGGAAATTATTGCTGCTCTTGTGCCTTTCTTGTGGGCTTTGCTTAGGCTTTGCTTAGGCATCTGTACAATGATGGGGGAAACCAAGGTGCCAGAGTCTGTACAATATTGATTTGACTTGACACAGCTCTTTTCATATTGCCTTATATTTGTTTTGTACTGAGTTAGACCCCTTCTGTGCTCATTACAGTAAGAACATAAGAAGATCAGTGCTGTATGAGAACAAAGGCTATCCAATCCAGAGTTCTGTTTCCACAGTGGGCTCATGGGAAGCCCACCAGCAGAATAAGGTGCAGGTGTACCCTTTTTCTCATAAGACCCCGCAAAAGATACACACAGGCATACTACTTCTGATACTGGAAGTGGTGTATAACATCTGGATTAGGAACCACAGATGGTCCTAACCTCCTTGAATGCATCGGATCTATTTTTAAACCTGCCTAATTTGACAGCCACCTGCACCTGTTATGGCAGTGAATCCTACAATTTCACTGTGTGTGAAGAAGCACATCCTGTTTCTTGTTTCTAATTCTCCCACCATTTAAATTCAGAGGACCCGTTCTTCAAGGATTATGGCAAAGGCAGAAGAATGTCTCTTTATCTACTTTTTCCATGCCACGTGAAATTTTATGCACTTCTATCATCTGGGGAATGGACTCTAGCAACTTCTGCGGGGCTACAGGCTCACCAGATCTGGCTTAGCAGAAGCTCTCTGCTAACAATCTCAGTAGCTTGGCAGTGAACCATCAAGAGAATCTCATCTACTTTTAGCTGCTTTTTACTAGTTTACAGAGCATTACATTTTGATAGTATTTTGTTATTCCTTGGCATAAATATCATGATAAAATAATATTGAAAATGCTGCTTTTTGTGGTTTTGTTAGGCATTGTTTGTACAACATGGGGCTTTCTTTAAGTTTGAAATAGCTAGAACAGCCTTCTGCAAATGCAGCTTGCCCTCCGATGATATTTAATTACATTCATTCACCACATGTCCATAAAGCCATCCAAGAGACACATGTTGCATGCACCAAGAGACAGGTAAAAAGAACCATACAGATCCTCTTTATACAGAAGAGGTCAAACAGAACAGAGCTTTTCCCTTTCTGAAAAACCACAAATCGGTTGATAAGTGTTTATTACAGCTCCAAAATATGAATCCCTTACTTTCTGTTTCCTTGGATTTTGGTTTAGATATGAACAAGCACATGTTCTGACATATTCTTCTAGAATGCCATCTTGTGGCATTGTAGAAGAATAGCAATATATTATGTTCAACACTACCACCTGTAAGACAAATATAATGACCTTCATTTCGGCAAGCCAGGGAATTTAAGTCAACTGCATGGAACACCTTGTGTGGAAACTATGCCAATGTCTTTGTATCTCTTAGTTATCTGCTTGCAGATAGTTTCTGTGCTTTTCATGTATAAAGGTATTTGAAAATGGTATCCTCAAACTTCAAGAATGAGCGGCAATATGTCTATTGACTAGGATGAGTTGGATTCAAATCCCCACTCAGCCATGATATGCAATGGAATAATCACACACTCTCAGCCTGACCTTCTCATTGTGTTGTTGTGAAGACAGAGGAAAGGGGGAGAAGGGCCTTGTGTTTTGTCTTGAGTTCATTAAAGGAAAGGTGGCATATGCATGGAATAATAAACAGGAATGAACTGGTGTATTCTATCACCTTATTCTGTTGTGTAGAGCATGCCTGAGGTCAAGGCATTTTGACATGTGAGGTAGAACAGCAAATAGCTCACCTAAAGACAGACAATTATTTTGGCACATGATGCAGAAAAATCCCACAAGTGCTTCTGCCCCCTCCCTAGCAGGAAAAAATACAATGATGATAAATTAAGTAACTTAACAATTTGCTACCCAGTTGTGACTCCCTCACCCAAATGCTACCAGCACATCTGCTACCTCCCTTTCCTGCCTGTCCTCGGTTTAGAAATATTACCTACTTTGGACATTTGTTGCTGACCCTCCAGAGAGGGAAGGGATGGGAGTGTTGCTGTTTGCCAGGTCAGGTTGCTAATGCCAGAGTGGGTGGCCATTCTGGCTGGGGAGCTGGCCTCAAAAAAAATGATTCCGCTCCCTTTCAAGAGCTGAACTGCATTGTGCAGAATGGATCCCAACTGGAAGTGTTTCTTCTTCTTCTTCTCCTTCTTGCAGAGATCTCCTGCGTGGTCTCCGATTGGAGCGAATGGAGTGGCTGCGCGGAGCCTTGCAAGGCGACGTACCGCATCCGAAGGAGGCAGATAATCCAGGAACCCAGAAATGGAGGAGAACCTTGCCCTCCTCTAGAGGAGAAAGCAGGCTGTTTGGAGTATTGGACTCACCAAGGAACCAAATGCAAGCAGTCCCTTAGTAAGTGGAGCAGTTGGGTGGAACAGGGAAGGTGACCTTAGTGATATTCAAAATCTAGCTTTCCCATAGGTCCAGAGCCAGCATTTATGTTGTCCTGGTTAAAATATTGGACTGTGATCTGGAAGACCTATGAGCCACGAAGCTCAATTGGTTCACTTTTGGCCATCCCATCTCTGCCTGACCTACTTAGTAGGGTTGTTGTGATTGAATGAATGGCGAGGAAGGGAGCTGTGAACACTGCCTTGAATTAACTGGAGGAAATGGAAAAATATAAATGAAATAAATAAAGAAATAAACAATATATAACAACATAACAATAAATGAAGTGAGAAGCTTAACTTGCAGGAAGAAAGCACTTAATAATTAATTAATAATTATATTTATTTGTTTGATTTTATATCTCACTTTTTCTTCAAAAGTGGGCTGTTAAGTTTACAAGATGATGGATTGAGAAAGTACAGATTAAGTTCATAATACTAAAACACAGTTAAGATATACAGTGGTGCCTCGACGTAATGACCATAATCAGTTCCAGAAGATGGGGATAACTCGAAATGGTTGTAAGTCGAAGCACCATTTCCCATAGGAACGCAATGAAATGCAATTAATCTCTTCCGGCTGAAGAAAAAAAAAATCACACAGATGGATTGAGAAAGTACAGATTAAGTTCATAATACTAAAACACAGTTAAGATATACAGTGGTGCCTCGACGTAATGACCATAATCAGTTCCAGAAGATGGGGATAACTCGAAATGGTTGTAAGTCGAAGCACCATTTCCCATAGGAACGCAATGAAATGCAATTAATCTCTTCCGGCTGAAGAAAAAAAAAATCACACAACACACAGCAAGTGCAATTAATCCCTTCTGGCCAAAGGCAGGGGGCGGGGGGAAAGTAGGTCTCAAAATTCTGCAGTGGGGGTGACCATAGTCCATTTTGAATGTGGGCTTCTGGGAGCTGTCAATATATGCCATCAAGTCAATATTGACTTAGGCCACCCTTACCACAGTCTTCTGGATAGAGAATACACAGAAGTGGTTCATCATTCCCGTCTTCTGGGGGGTGTCCTGGGACTGTACAGCTTGCCCATGGCTACACAGGCTGGGTCTTCTCCCCGGAGGCACAGTTTGGAATTGAACTCCTAACCTTAGGCTCTGCAGTCAGCAACCTAAATCATTGAGCTATCCGACCAGCTCAGTTCAAAGAAACAAGTAATATTTCCAGACTCTGAGAGTTGCTGTTTCTCTCCAGTGACGTGGTGAAGGGACCTGGAAATGTATAGAGAAGGAGCCTCTTTAATTTCTTGCCCAAAAGAAAATGTCAAGGCATTAAAGTCTATAAATGACCCAGTCTTTATTGTTCTACAGTTGTAAACAGGTCTGGGACACTTAATTGCTAATTAGTAAATCTGTTGTGTTTTCTTTTCCCTTTTTCTGTGAACAGTCCCAGCATTAATAACCACTGGAGGCTATGGGAAAGCAAGGAAAAAGCGTGCTGTGTTCAGTGAGAATGAAAGAGTTGGGTAAGTAAAGCACCAGAGCCCCCCCCTCCCCCCGGGTCACAGTGTAATCTGTGTAGCAGACAGTGATAATCAAAGGACTGGCCAGTCTAGCCCAATTAGTTCCTCACCTCATCTGGAGTACTGAAGATATATTAGACTATAACTCCCATCATTTCTCAGCCAATAGGGCATTGGCTGTCCTGGACAAGGAATGATGAGAATTCCCGGGGATGATAGTTGTAGTCAAACATAGATGGAGAGCACCAGGTTGGGAAAGGCTGGTCTGGAAATAATTGTAGCAGGTTTTTTTGGTAGTTTGGTAGTTTTGCCACTTTATTGAGAAGTTGGCCAGAAGTTGCCGTCCTCTGCACTCTTTCCTGAGTTTGAACCCCTTTGAACACAGCAAGATTTTCTTGAGCCTAAAAAGAGCCACATGCTACATCAGACCAAAGGGCCACCTAATTCAGCATTGTGTTAATTCAGCAGCAAACCAGTTGCACATGGGAAGCATCTAAGCTGGGCACCACTGCCATGGCATCTTCCTACTTGGACTCTCAAGCAGCTGGTATACAGAGGCATGCTATCTCTGCCCTATAAACAATCATCCTTAGGCTTTCATTGCAGCCTCTTTTTTTCTTTTTCTTTTCTGTCTCTTCCATGGCAGGTATTGTGTTGAGTTTCAGCTCATGGCCATTGCAGAAGGATGTCTACATGGAAACAGTTCATATACTCATTGGATGAAGTATCTTAGTGAAGGACACAGGGTATGCGTGGAGTGTCAGCATCCGGCTTTGGATTCCAGAAGTCTGCACTGCTCTGGAGATGGCAGTGAAGCCAAGAAGTAAGAGACAGTGATACTCTCTTGGGATTTTATGTAGGATCATTTCATTTCACACCACTAGATACCTGCAGGGGCTATAAATTATTGAGAGAATGTGGTCATTGGGATGGGAGAACATGGCATAGACTACATGTGGTACCCCTGAATATGCTTCTTTGGAGATAGGTCTAAGGACCCATTCCACCCATGCATTTGCATCACTTAATTAGTCCAGTTGTTTTCTGTCAGTGGTATGTGCAACACCACTGGGATGCAGACATTGTCCAGATAAGGTGTTGGGTTTTCATAATGAAATTATGATTTGTTTGCTTGTGCTTTACATACAGCGATGACATTTATTCCCTATAATAGTACTTTTAAAAGTAATTATTGTTATTTATTATTATTATTACAGTTCCAGTAATAACAACTTCTGCACTCGGCAATACTATACTCAACAATATTATACTCAGTAGTACTGTCAACAATGCTATAATAGTTTTTCTATCCTTAAAATTTAACAGGAAATATAAATATATTAATAGACTTATTTGCAGAATAAGTTCACTTTTTATTTCTGTCATAGTGGAATCCAGGTTCTTGCATAAAGTGATCGATGAAGCATAAGATACAAAAGACTAGGAAATATCACACTAGTCTGTTCTTGATGATGGACAGTTTGACAGGCCAGTTTCACTGACGCGACTAGGGTGGTGTGGGAACACATAGGGTATAAGGTCAGGGTTTGGCGATTCACTTATTCGGATAATCACTAACATTATGGTTATTAAAGACATGCATGTGTGAATGCCCTCTGACTGTGGGAAAGGTATTAGTTCAACAAGATCATTTCTGAATATAGAGTAACTTAAAAGCCAATCCTGCCTTAACTATGACTTTGTCAGTATTTTTAGGTGCATTTCCCCAGGATTCAGAATAAATTCAGTTTCATGCATAAGCATTGGGTTATTAGGGAATGTAATCATGCTCATCGGTGAAAAACAGCTACTCTGGCCAGTAAAGTCTTTCTTGACGGGTATATTTGTGCTGCGAAACAAAAGCTGGGCTGTTGGGTCTCCTCCCTTCCATCCACACTACTTTTCACATAGCACTGCAAAGTTATTCTGACAGAGAACAAATGCAGTCAGTAAAGCTGTCAGGAGAAACCATATCATGCAGTAAAATGTAAATGGGAGTGAAAGCCTAATACAATTTTGGAAATCTCAGAAGCAAAAAAGAAAAGAAAAGCATTAAGAGTAGGTGAGCCCAAGTCCTGCAGAACTGTGGGCTTTTAAGAGTAGAAGACCAAGACCCATAATTCTCAAAAACCACTTTGCTGCACATTTATGCAGAGTCCACAAATGCATGTTCATCGTGTCTTAATTGTCTCGCTCAGTGACAGCAAGTTCATTGTTACAAAGGTGATTTTCTTGTCAGTGGAAGCTGGCTTAAGCAGAGCTTGTGAAAAGAATCTGGGGTCTTAGTAGATCACAAGTTAAACATGAGCCAATTGTGTGTAGCAACAGAAGTGTCTAGTTCAAGGGAACTAACAGTATCATTATACGTACTCTGCTTTAGTCAGACCTACCTCACCTAGAGTACTGAATTCCACAATTTAAGAGGGATATTGAGAGCTGGAACAGGTCCAGAGGAGAGCAAACAGAATTGTAACAGCTTTGGAAACCAAGCCCTATGAGGAATGTTTGAGAGAACCTGCCATGTTTTGCTTGGAGAAGAAAAGGCTGAGAGGCCGTATGATACCTGTCTTTAAGTATTTGAAGTGCTTTCCTATGGAAGATGGAGTGGCTTTTTTTTTTTTTTATGCAGTTCAGGAGGATAGGAAAAGAAGAAATGGATTCAAGTTCCAAGAAAGGAGATTTTGATTAAATGTTAGGAATCTCAGAGCATGGTGGACTCTCCTTCACTGGAGATTTTAAAGCCAAGGTTGGATGGCCACCTGTCAGAGATGATTTAGGATATGGATTTCCTGCATCGGCAGTGGGCTGCATTGGATGGTCTTTGGGGTCCCTTCCAGCTACACAGTTCTGTGATTCTATGATACTGGACTCTGCAGTGTAGTGGTACATTTTGAAGTGCAAGTGACCATTCTGATAATGCCTATATTTCTAGATTATTTGGTCACAGAGGAACTTTGAATTTGTTTCATAAAGAAAAATTGAAACCGGTTCTTGTAGATACGGTAGGTCTGCTCAAAGTGGGAGGATAAACTGAGGGGAATATACATGCATTAAATAAATAAGGTGATGATGGACTTGCATGTGTGAATTGCTTAAAAGAAGTCAATATTGTTTGTCTGTATGTTTCCATTTGGTAACCCACGGCTGCAGTGATTGGAGAGGAGAAAGAAAAAGTCCATAGTTCAGTGGTAAGATATTCATTCAGCATACCAGTGGTCCAATAGGCAATCCATGGCATCTCCCATCAGTTAAGAGACTCTTTTTTGGTAGCAAGTCATTTGCTACAAAACTGTGTGTTTGTATGTGTATGTGTCGATGGGTGGAGTGAAGGAGAAGTGAGAGATCTGGAAGATAATTACATTCCAATCCACATATTAGTCTGAGAAGTGCAAATCAGAATGTGAAAAATGGTTGAGCGTCTGTACGTTGTCCATGGAACTACTTTGCTGCCATCCCTACAGCAGATTTTATTCCCTAAAGATTTTGGATACATCAGCAAAGTCTGGGATTCCTCCTCAGTTTCAGCTGATACTTCTGATCATGAAGGTAACTAATTTGGCTAAAGAAAGTTTCATATATTGGGGCACTGAGCTTGTGATTACTATATATAATAGCTTTGCTCTTGCTGGCTTGGTATGATGGGAATTATAGTCCAACACATTTGTAGGGCATGAAGTTGGGGAAGGCTGAGGGATAGGATTGGTTCTGTGGTAGGAGTAGACAAACTACAGCCCTCAGATATTGCTGAGGTGCTGCTCCCAGTATGCCTCCCGGTTGGCTATGGCAGATGGCAGTTGTAGTCTAAAAACAACTTCAGGGCTGTACTTTGCCCATCTGTGCTATAGGAAACCTTCAGGCTCACTGCTAATATGGCACTGAATGCAACATACTAGGAAAGAAGAGTAGTTCTGGAAGTCATGCATCATGGACCCATTTGGAAGTATGGGATTCTAGAAGATACAGTCTAAAAAATTATCTTTCATGAACTTTGCTTTGACCTCTTTGGGAAAATAGATTCTAGGACTAGGACCATTGTTGATCCAAAAAGGCTCCTCATATTGAGGCTAAAATAATTTGTTGAAGGATTGATCAGTTCTCAGAATCCAGAACTTTGTGCAGTTGCATATATGGTGTGTTGAGAGAAAGAATAGATGGAAAGGAACAGTGAATGAAAAGAACATCCTGCAGACCCTTCATGTGTGCTGAGCTTTGATAATGTAAGAATCATGTGGCAAGCAGGCAGGTCCTCTGAACTGAATGCCTGAACTACTTTCATCACAGTTGACTTCATCCCCTCCATATGACAGTGAATGAAGGTGACAGGCTCTTGGTGCAGGTATTTCTTGGGCTAGATATGATTGTTGTCAGTGCTTCCTTGCATAGCCATGGTGGGTTGTGTCTTAATCATGAAAAGAACTTGAATATGCTATAGCTCCCAAGGGGTTGATGTCACACAGTAGAAGTTGTCCTCCACTTTGGGCTTCTTGGACCCAATGGACCCATGATGCATGATAGGCCAGTAGCATAGAGTTGGAAGAGACCACTGAGGCCATCCAGTCCAACCCCTGCCATGTGGGAACAACCATCAAAGTACTCCCAACCCTCTGCCATTCACCCATTAGTTCTTCCTAATGCTCAGATGGAATCTCTTTTCCTGTAGTTTCCTAATGCTGGAATCTCTTTTCCTGTAGTTTGAAACCATTGTTCTGTGTCCTGTTCTCTGGAGCCCTGGGAAACAAACTTGTCCCTCTTCAACATGACATCCTTTCAAATCTTTAAACACAACTATCATGTCCCCTCTCAACCTTCTTTTTGTAAGGCTAAATATTCCCAACTCCCTAAGCCACTCGTCATAGGACATTGATTCCAGACCTTTAACCATTTTAGTCACCCTTCTCTGGATGCGGTCCAGGTTGTCAACATCCTATTCCCAACTTCCTAAGCCACTCATCATAGGACATTGATTCCAGACCTTTAACCATTTTAGTCACCCTTCTCTGGATGCGGTCCAGGTTGTCAACATCCTTTTTGAACTGAGGTGCCCAGAACTGGACATAATGCTCCAGGTGAGGTCTGACCAAAGCAGAATAGAGTGGCACTATCACTTCCCTTGATCTAGACACTATATTCCTATTGATGCAACCAAGATTTGCACTGGCTTTCTTGGCAGACGCCTCACACTGCTGACTCATGTCCAGTTTGTGGTCTACCAAGACACCTAGATCCCTTTCACAGGTACTGTTGTCTAGCCAGGTGTCTTCCATCCTATATCTGTGCAGTTCATTTTTTTCTGCCTAGCTGTAGGTCCTTACATTTCTCCCTGTTGAAATTCATTTTGTTAGTTTTGGCCCAGGACTCTAATCTGTCAAGGTCATTTTGAAATTTTAATCCTGTCCTCTGGAGAATTAGCAACCCAATTCCCAAGCCAGTTTGGTATCATCTGCAAATTTAATCAACATACTCTCTATTCCTTCATCCAAGTCATTGATAAATATGTTGAATAACAGAACAGAACCCTGGGACACCCCACTAGTCACCTCTTTCCAGGACGAAGGGGAGCCATTTGTGATCACTCTTTGGGTTCAGTCAGTCAACCAATTACAGATCCAACTAACAGGAGCACTATCTATCCCACATTCTGCTAGCCTCTTTGCAGGAATATCATCGGGAACCTTGTTGAAGGCCTTACTGAAATCAAGATATGCTATATCCGCAGCGTTCCCTTCATCCACCAGGCCTGTAACTCTATCAAAAAAAGAGATCAAATTAGTCTGGCATGACTTGAGAAAACCCTGTTGACTTCTAGTAATGACAGCATTGCTTTCTAAGTAATTACAAACTGTCTGCTTAATGATCTTCTCTAGAATCTTTCCAGGAATTCATGTCAGACTGACGAGGTGATAATTATTTGGGTCTTCTTTTTCCCCCTGTGCTGTCACATCATCCTAGAAAAACCAAGAATGATGTTGTTCAGAGATATCATTCTTGTCAACCCTATATTCCAGGCTTTTCTTAGGATAAGCCATGTTAGTTCTCACCAGTTGCCCAGTGGAGTAACAAATGGGGTCAGTGGCCTCTCTTGGATTGGGGTAGCTGATGCCTTTGATGGAACTCACCATAGGGAAGCCAAGCTTAGTCATTTCCTGGCTAAAGCTGAACTGTCCAAGTGTTAATCTGATATTTGGGGATTTCCCTGTTCTTTTGAATTGCCTTTTGTTATTTACCACTTTGGCACTTTCATTTTCAGCTGGGAACTCTGAATGTTAGCTGTCCCTCCTCTCCATCTTTGCCCTTGCTTTTTCACACTTTCCAGTGGAATTCATTTTTTCCCTACAGGCTTAATTTTTTTCCCTGTTGCTGCTGGCATCTCCTTTGTTATTTTGGCAGTTGAGGGAAAATGTTGGTCTCAGAATGACGTCTTTCAGTAAACTCTTGGGAAGCGCTTCACCAGTTATGAAGCTGGATTAATAGAGCGATCTAATTTTGGTTTGCGTGCATGCAGTTCAAAGCATTTTGTCGAATTAGTTCAGCCATCTTTGGAATGTCTCACAAGGTCATGTCCTGTGCAACTGGGCCAGTTTATCCATTCTCCTTTCCTCCTTGTTTCTTCCTGAAATAGGCTTCGGAGCATTGGTTAGTTTTACCAGAGGATGTGGTGACATGAAGATCTGCCAGTCTTGATTACTTGAGAAGGGAGAGCAGCTGGAGAAGGTCTTTGGAATGAGTGGAGAGCAGCACGCCTTCTGGAGACAGTTCCTCTCTTGCAAGGGTTCAAGGAAGGGACAGGATGTTTGTGTGACATCACCTCTCCTTCTGGCAGCAAACTGAGATGGTGAATGCCAGAAATTTGGATAGCAGCAGAAACAAGGCCACCGAAACAAGAAAGTGTCAGTGGCCTCTTAGGGACTAGGTTTGCAGAAGAGCAAAAAATATATTTAAAAATAACAACAAGAGAAGAAGGCTCAATATTCTATGAGTCTCACACTGCACAGAGACATTTTGGGGACTGAAGGGGATTGTTTGTACTTTTAAAATTGAGATTAATAGCTTATTAGCTTTTATAGTCTTCTTCTCAGTCAGCCAAGGGCCAATTCAAGGTGAAACCCCATACCCGGTGAGCCTGATTTGAGTGTCCACAACTTCTTCCTCATGTCACATCTCAAATACACTAAAGGGATGACATGACTTTACTAATGTTAACGTCAAGCTGTAAAGCTACTACCCCCAGCTTTTTAAAAATATCTTTGCCTGAAGGAGGGATCTGGAGATCTTGGAATCTTGCAGACACAATGTTGTGCTTTTTTAGTTTACTTAATAAAGGTATTACTACAACACAGATTTTGGAATTTGTGTTGCAACCAGCATGGCTAAACTTGCATTTTGCCTCCAGTTCCAAGTTTGTATTTGAAACGCCTTTTGTCCAGTAATAGCATTTTCTGTCTTAGATTATTTGGAAATAGTACCAGGTTCTGCCTGATTAACTTGTACAGTAACTTAGAAACTAAATTCTGAGAACAGCAGATAAATGATGCAATCTGGCGGCTATTCTGGTTGTATCTTTCTCCGAGCAGTACTTAAAAACCCTTAATAATCATGTTAATACTGTGTAATATATTACTGTAATATATATGATACATCATTTTGGGGACCATGGTAGATAGTAAAACAACTAGTAAATTCTTTTAATAATATAATAAATAATAGCATTAACATGTATTAGAAAATTTTGTCCTAAGTAAGTGCAGCTGACATTTGCAAAGAGCATACATGGGAATTGCTAGAAAAAAAACAGAGCTTAAAGCCTGTTGGGATCAGCTGTTCCTTATGGTTTGCAGTAAATGATGGTGGTTGCAGGGATCTGGATGCAGAGCCGGAGGTTGGGAGTTTGACTCCCTACTGTACTTCGTTGACAGGGACTGAAATCAAAGATTCGCAGTGTCCCTTCCAGCTCGGCAGTTCTGAGATTATTATTATTAATTGTGGAATGCAGTTTCATTATGGACATTTATGTACCGGCAGATGGGAAAGGATAGCTTTCTCTGGACGTCAAAAAGGTAAAGGTAAAGGTTCCCCTTGACATTTTTAGTCCGGTTGTGTCCGACTCTAGGGGGCGGTGCTCATCCCGTTTTCAAGCTGTAGAGCCAGCGCTTGTCCGAAAACAGTTTCCGTTGCCACGTGGCCAGCGTGACTAGGGAACACCGTTTTACCTTCCCACCAAGATGGTACCTATTTATCTACTCATTTATCTTACTTCAAATCAGTGTCTGATACTTTCTGCCTGGTGCCTTCAGAAATTTCAAGTGGAGTTCATCACATGTTTCAACTGTTGAGTATTAGAGTAGACTGGTAGTCCAGATAGGCGG